CGCATTTCCATTTCAACATGAGCCTCGTTTCACACATAAACCCATGCGTTTCAGGGGTCATGCGGGGGTGGAGATACGCAGTTGCGTCGGAGGAGTAGAGGTTTCTCACCTGTCACCCATCAAAAGAAGTCACCGCGGCGGCGGCGAGAAGCGAGACGTCCCCGAAATGATCAAAATTCCATTATCCTCGCGTCCTCGCGGTTATTCCGTCGAGGTTGGAGCTCCCGAAATAGGTGACACCCATCGTCGCCGCGGGATCAAAAAGGCGGCGGCTAATGTCATTAGAGCCGGAAAACCTAATGTAATTGTCCACGTCTTCCGAGGGCTCCGTTTCAGCGAGGAAACCAACGCCGGGGCTGCGACGTCCTGCCCGAGAGAGCGGCAAGTCCAAAAATGGAGTTTTGAGAGCGGAGAGCTACTAACGACTACGACTACTACGACGTTCAATGTTTGTCCAATATTTTTCTGATTTTTACAAAGGATGTCTAGCTTTTATTCGTATTGGGAAATTCTGAGGAAATCCTGATTTTTCCTGATTTCTGACTGCTGAATCCTGTTTTCATAATTTTTCCAAATCCTGATTTTTTTGCGGAGAAAAATTAAAATTTCTGCATGAACGTATGCGAAAGCATGAAAAATCCGATCGGACAGCCGATTTTTCTCAAATCCTGCTTTTACGATCGATTTCTCCTTAAATCCTGATGTAATCGCACCGAGAAAAGGAACACACTGGATGTAGAGTCCAGACTCTTGAAAACATTGACAAGAAAAAATACTCTTGATTCAATCGGATCTCAGCTTAAATCAAAAGGAAATCCGCTCAAATTAAGAGGCTTGGTTCTTGATTTAAGCAAAAATCCGATTGAATCAAAAGTATTTTTTCTTGTCGGTGTTTTTAAGAGTCTGGACCCTAAATCCAATGTCTTTTTTTTCCAGTGTGATTTTTACACAAGGTGTCTAGTTTTTATTCATTTTGGAAATTCCTAACGTGATCCTGATTTTTCCTGATTTTTGACTGCTAAGTCCTATTTTCATAATTTTTCCAAATCCTGATCAAATCCTGCTTTTTTGCGGAGAAAAATTAAAATTTCTGCATAAACGTACGCGAAAGCATGAAAAAATCCGATCGGACAGCCGATTTTTCTCAAATCCTGATGAAATCGGGATAAAACCCCGATTGACCTCAAATCCTGGTAGATTCGGAAAAATCCTGATGCTAGACATCCTGTTACATGAGATTAGAGGAAAAATCGGTGAAATTTTCAGTTTGAAACATCGAAGATCCTCCTGGTGAAAATTCAATAAATAAGTGGAAATCCGGCAACACTAAAATTCAGTTACGTTCTTTGGTGAAGGAAACGACAAATCGTTGGCGTGTATGGGTTCTACCGTTCACTAGCCTGCGAACACCCTGCTATCATAAAAATCACTGATTTTCACCCGAAACTTTCCGGATTTCCAGACACCCTGATTCATGCGCAATGAAGATCGACTCCGCGCATAAATCCGAATTCGTCGTAATCAATCTTTAAATTCCGCTGCGCTCGGGACGCCGAGGTGGACGTCTGGAATAATAATAAAGTTGGATACAACTATATCAACTCCGAAGTAGGTGAAATTGCATAAGCAACGAAATCTAGGCGCACTGAGTTTCTCGCTGGCACGATCATCCGATTTCCGAGAATTGCGATTTAAAATGAATTGCGGTGCATGAAATAACGATGCAATTTTTGTCCAATATTTTCCTGATTTTTACATAAGATTAGAGAAAAAATCGATGAAATTTTCCGTTTGAAATGTCGAAGATCCTCCCAGTGAAAATTCAATTCATGAGTGGAAATCCGGCAACACTGAAATTCAGTTACGTCCCGTGGTGAAGGAAACGACAAATCGTTGGCGTGTATGGGTTCTACCGTTCACTGGAGTCCCTTTATACTGAGAGTCAAGACAATGTGAATCCATTTCTGATTGGTTCCCGTATTTTAGGCCTTCACAGTGTCACAAACGGAAATAAAGATTACATTTTCACCGATTGCAAAGATTATAATCTGGAATGGACCGGGGAATCACGGGTTCGGCAAGGAACAAACGGAATGAGAGAAGGAACGGAGAAAGGAATTTGAGAATGGGCCGATCAAAGATTACAAAAAACGTTCAGTTTGTGTAATCTTTATTCCCGTTTGTGACTCCATGAGGGGGTGTTGTCTTGACTCTCAGTATAAAGGGACTCTACCGTTCACTAGCCCCGTGAACACCCTGCTATCATAAAAATCACTGATTTTTGCCCGAAACTTTCCGGATTTTCAGACACCCTGATTCCTGATTTATGCGCAATAAAGATCGACTCCGCGCATAAATCCCAATTCATCGTGATCAATCTTTAAATTCCGCTGCACTCGGGACGCCGAGGTGGACGTCTGGAATAATACCCGGCGATGATTCGATTTGACATTCAAACATATCAATATCGGTGCCCCGCGCGGGTAGCGGCGCTGCCAAACCGCCGGAAAAATCCCCGAATCCCAATCCTATGCTTCGAGGCGCGAAAAAATATGATTTAACGGTGAATCTGGCAACGTCGCCGTTGGGTTTGCCTTCAGGAACAGGCGCTGAACCGGATTCGGGGGCGCGGAGGAACTGGATCCCGATTGGACGGATTTCTGCCGAACGGGACTATGTGCATTATGACGTGAGCCCTGTTATACATGGATTCTTAGGGGTCTCACGGCTCATGTCTTGGTTCCGTTTGGCAGAAATGCGCTCGATTCGCCGTCTAATAAACGACTCCGCCACGCGATATGTTTTTGTCATCTGATACTCGTCTCCTCGTTGTCTTTTCGCCCCCCGTTGCCACGCGCTCCTCCGGATAGGGGTTGTTTTGTTTCTCGTCGCGGGGGAGAATTCGCGGTAGAGACAGTGGCGGATTTTCTGCGTGGCGGTATGCTGTCGTGCTACGGAAGAACGCCGTATGAACATTCGGGAGTTGCCAAATTTTTCTTGAGAAAACCTGTATTTTGTACAAGATTAATGCATATTTTTCCTTGAAATTTTCAGATATTTTAGATGAAATTGTGCACAAAATTGTCTGAAAATTTGAACAAATAATATTCACAATTATCTCACTAATTCCGGTTTTTATCGGAGGAAATTTGGCAACGTCTGAAGGCTCATACGGCGTTCTGCCTCGGATGCTGCCGTGCTACAGAAAAACGACCTATCAACATTCGAGTGTTGCCAAATTTCCTTCGATAAAAAGCTGATTTTTGTGGGGTGCCATGAATATTTTGCCTCGAAATTTTCAGGGACTTTAGATGAACTTGCGAACAAAATTATACGAAAAATTGGAAGAAAAATGTTCGCAGTCTTCCGAGAAAATTCGGTTTTCATTGAAGTAGTTATGGCAACGTCTAAAGGCTCATACGGCGTTTTTTCTTAGTACGGCACACTGGAAAAAAACACATTGGATCTAGAGTCCAGACTCTTAAAAACATCGACAAGAAAAAATACTCTCAATTCAATCAGATTTGAATCAGCTATTACAGAAAGGGCACAATCGACATTTTTTTCGAAATTGAGTTTGAGTTTGGTGGTTGAAATTGGGTCGAAACCCGGAAAGAGTATCATGTAAAAATGTTGTATGGAAATTGTTAGTCTACTTGGGGGACAAAAGAAAACCACGAACACTTTATTTCCAAAAACTTATAGTTTAATCAAATCGGTTTTTTGCATTTTCTGAACAATTAAAATTTCTGCAATAGTGCCCTTTCTGTAATATGTGATTCATTTAAGCTTCAATCAAGAACCAAGCCTCTTAATTTGAGCGGATTTCCTTTTGATTAAAGCTTAAATCTGATTGAATCAAGAGTATTTTTTCTTGTCAATGTTTTCAAGAGTCTGGACTCTAGATCCAATGTGTTTTTTTTTCCAGTGCAGCATGGCCGTGCTAATCTACACGGAAAGTAAACGAACACACGGTTGCATGATGCATGAATGCAATGATGCATAAAATCTTCATCTTTTATTTCCCTGACTTTTTGGACCGCGTTAGGCAGGGTGAGACCAAGCCACATCAGCTATTGCCAAATTTAACTGAGCAACTTGATTTTTCACATGAAAACGGTTGTGTGGATTTTTGCGCAAATTTCAGTGAATTTTATACATAGTACGCAGCAAATTCCTCGACAATTTCAAAGGAATCTGCATGAATTTTCTCTTGAATACGGGCAGGGTACGGACAGGTCGAAAAGGATCGCGTGGAACAGAAATGAATCAAGCCGCATCTGCTATTGCCGAATTTGACTGAGCAAATTACTTTTTAACAAGAAGACGGTTGTGCGGATTTTTGTGCTTTCTGTACGAAGCAAATTCCTTAACAATTTCAAAGGAATTCGCATCAAAGTTCTCCTGTAAAAAATTAAATTGCTCAGTTAAAGGCAATGGCGGATGTGGCTTGGTTTTCTTCTGCTAAATGTGGTCCATTTTTGCCCCTCCAGGACTAAAAAATGTTCTAATTTCCTGATTTTCCCTGAACTTCAATTTTTTTCCCGCTGATTTTCGCTAAACTTGAAACAAAAATTCCTTCGTTAGAGATCAAATCGTGGGAAAGGGCATTGAGCAGCTGGTTAAGAGATGACAACCCTTAAAAATTGCAACAGCAAACAGCTAGAGGATCAGTAACATATTTTACTGATAAGTAAACGTGTCAGAAATTCCCCGAATTTCCTCACGAATTCCTGGACGTTTCCCGATCGTTGCAAAATCCTTGACTTTCCCTGATTTTTCCGGTTTTCTAGACCGCTGGCAACCCGGCAAACATCCAGACATCGAGAAAATTTGGCTCGATTACAGATTTCACTTTAAATCTAAATCACCTTAAAATGAAGAGGAAAAGAAAAAAAAAAAAAAAAAAAAAAAAAAAAAAAAAAAAAAAAAAATCCGATCGTAAAACGGATCCATTACATGTAAAAATACACACAAAACAAGATGTGGTTGTTCCTTACCTGGATAAATAGCCACGAGGTAACAAGCGCCAATCCACTGTACTGTCCGTTAAACCGATAGTGATAAGCGTAAAATGAAAAATGATACAAATAAAAGAACCTGTAACAAAAAAAAAAAATAAGATCAGGAGTTAGCGATGATAAGTCTTATTTTCATGGTGATACAATATTTAGACGACAGTATAGAGCAATGTTATATGGCAACGGCTGGAGAAGGATACACGGCGTTCTTCACGTAGAAAATAGACTGGTGAAATTTACTACACCAATAGTTGATTTTGGTCCCTGCTAGGTATTGTGAATGGTGTAGCGTAAATTGTAGTGTTATTTATCGCAATGCTGATTCATTTTACTAAAACTTTACCGAAACTAGCCATACTTCAGTAGAATGTAACGATACTTCAGTAGAATGTAACGATACTTCAGTAGAATGTAACGATACTTCAGTAGAATGTAACCATACTTTAGTAGAATGTAACCATACTTTAGTAGAATGTAACCATACTTCATAGCAGGGGCCGAAATCAACTATATAGTAAACTCCGCAACCAGTCTTTTATCTCCCAGTTCCTTGGTACGTCAGAATGATTTACTCCCTTTTCTCTTTCTTTATCTACAGCTTTGTTTATCAATTTCAATTATCAGCCCCCTGAAGGATGCTGACATTCCATGTTCCCGGGAAACACTAGGACACGCAAGCAGGGGTGCGAGTTACGAATATTCGCGAACGATTATGAGAAGACGCCGGTCGATTACGTATGCGCGAAGCAGCGGTAGGGGTTGAGGAAGGAGAGTATGGAGGGAAATGATTTGAGTGAAAATGGAATTAATTTCATAGTGATTATTGATAGACGCAATTGATAGAGCAACGTAATATGGCAACGGCTGAAGCGGCTTATACAGCGTTCTTCCTTGGAACGGTAGAATTAGTCGCTACATTTTCTCTTTCTTTGTCTATAGGTTCGTTTATCCATTTCAATTATCAGCCCCCTGAAGAATGCTAACATTCCATGTTCAGGGTTGCCACAAAATTTATAGAATTAAATTCCCTGACATTTCTCTGACACATTTTGGTGTAATTCCCTTACAACTGAACAAATGCCGGTTTGTTAAAAAGACATAGTTAGAAATAGTTGTTAGGCAAATTTTGTAGTTCAACACGTCAAACACACTCGAGAGAGCAAATAAACGTTTTTCCCCTGACATTTTCGTCATTTTCCCTGACATTTCCAGGATTTCCCTGACTCTTTAAAATTCCCTGACATTTCCTGGTTTTCCCGGTATTCCCCGATTGTGGCAACCCTGCATGTTCCCTAAAAACACTAGTGACATCCAAGCAGGGGTGCGAGTTACGAATATTCGCGAACGATTATAAGAAGACGCCGGTCGATTACGTATGCGCGAAGCAGCGGTAGGGGTTGAGGAAGGAGAGTATGGAGGGAAATGATTTGAGTGACAAGGGAATTAATTTGCTCTCGGGATTCGGAGGAGAGCGGTGAGTCCGGGCGGAGCAGGAAGAGACGATGACGTCCAGGAGGCGGCGGGAGCGTGCGATTTAGATTGATTGGGTTGATTGGAAGTAAGTTGAGTTGAAGGAACCGGAATGTGATTAGCAGAGAGAGAGACGGGGGAGCGACGTTTCTTAATCGAATGGTAGATTGGGCAACTTTTGAAATATGCTGTATGACCTACTCGGCCGCGTTACCGAAAAGAGCCGTAACGCTCAAAGTTTCAAAATTGAATTTCTTTCAAAATTGAATTTCTTCCAAAATTGAATTTCTTTCAAAATTCTTTAGATTTAATTCGAACCGCGTCAAGCAGAAAGGAATCAAGCCACATAAGCTATTGCCAAAAATACTGGGGAAAAAACCACATTGTCTCTAGAGTCCAGACTCTTAAAAACATTGACAAGAAAAAATACTCTCGATTCAATCAGATTTAAGCTTAAATCAAGAACCAAGCCTATCAATTTAAGCGAATTTCCTTTTGATTTAAGCTTAAATCTGATTGAATCAAGAATATTTTTTCTTGTCGATGTTTTCAAGAGTCTGGACTCTAGATCCAATGTGTTTCTTTTTCCAGTGAATTTAAAAAATTTGGTCTCCTGTGGTGTAGTGGTTGTTGGCGCTTACTCTATAATCGAGAGTTCCCGGATTTGATTTTCGGCCAGGTGACCTGAGTTTGATGGTCTCGAACAACGTTTACCTGGGGCAGGCTTGATTAAGGACTAAAGAAAGGGTGGCAAGCGTGAGATTCCCCCCCCCTCCCAGAATATTTGAATGGAAAAAGAAAAAAAGGGGGGAAAAATGAAAACTTTTCAGAGAAAATTCGGCAATGTTCAAATGTCCATACGAAGTTTTTTTCTTCGGCAGCAGAGGGAGGGACACAAAATATGACCCGAGACCAAACACAGAAAACTCCCCCTCGTGGAGGGACTCCGGGGCACGAACTACCGCGGGGCAAGGCGACGTGGTGGGAAAGGGGGGCGGGGAGGGGAGGTTTGAAATAATTACCCACGAGTTGATAAGTCGCGGGCAATGATGCCGAGAAGTACACCACGAAGGGATGGCGACGGGGGGAGGGGGAGGGGGTGGTTCGGACTCAGGACACCCTGCGTGCTCCATTACCGGATCCGCGGGAGGCGCCCAGCGCGCCTTAATGTGATAGTCTTGTTATCGGTGGGGCCGAGGGCGAAAGGGAGGGGCGAAAGGGGGGGGGCGAAGGAGGGGCGCACGAGGTCCGAGTCAAATGATTTTTAATGGACCTCAATTGACAATGGTGCCCTCCCACGGCAGAGTCGGATCGAGGTGTTTCGCTTTACTGCCGTGCTAAGGAAAAACGCCGTATGAGCCTTAAGGCGTTGCCAGATTTCTCTCCATGAAAAATGAATTAATTGGAAAATAGAGATGTTGCATGTGTGAGGAATTTGCGATTTGACTGTTGATTCTTAGGTAAAAGTTCGCGAGAAACACGATGGTGCTGCTGGTTTTCCCTGAAATCATCTCCCACGCTCAAAAACAGATCTCAAGTTGAGGCCAAAATGGAGGGGATATCCCACGCTATCCTGAGAGTCCACCTCTCTATCAAGACAAACTCTCCATGCAAAGATAGGGAGCAAAGACATTAGCAGTGATGCCGTGTTTTCAGTTTTGGAGTCCCCAAATAAAGTGGCAGCCCTGTCAATGTATTTGCTTCATATCTTTGCGTGGAGAGTTTGTCTTGATGTAGAGGTGGACTCTCAGAATAGCGTGGGATACCCCCTCCAATTTGGCCTCAACTTGAGAGCTTTTTTTGAGCCTGGGAGTTGATTTCAGATAAAACCAGTGGCACCATCGTGTTTCTCGCGAACTTTTACATACGAAGCAACAGCCAAATCGCAAACGCCTCACACATGCAACAACTCCATTATCGAATATTTCGCTTCAGATGTCATAGACGACTTTGTCCGCAATTTTGACGTATTTCTACCAAACGGAACTATGTGCGTTATGACGTGAGCCTTGTTATGCATTTATTATTTTGAGTCTCAGGGCTCATGCCTTAAGCCACCCGTTTGAATCGATAGAATCGCTATATTTTCACTCGCCCTTCTTGTCAATAACTTTGTCTATCAATTTCAATAATCAGCCCGCAGAAGCAATACAGGGTGTCACAGTGTTTAATCACCAGACTGCGGGCTACTCATTGAAATGATGGACAGAGCTATAGACAAAGGAGCCATAAAGAGTATAGAGCGGTCCCATGGGTTGAAACGGTTGCTTCCCACTGACTAAACGTGAAAACGATCGACTAACAATAGAGTCCCTTGTAGGTTGGCATTGGTCAGTCTCTTACTTTCTTCCTCTAGTCATTGAAACCACCCGCCTCCACCTGTAGGATCACTCAATTTTTCCTTCATCTTCTTTTCTGTAGCTCTGTCTAACATTTTCAGTCAAATTAGTCCGTTCTACCGATAGTATACCGAGAGGGATTCGTGTGAACACCATTGAAAGTTATCTCCGATTCAATTGAAAATGATTCCTTTGAGTTTTGTCGACAAACAAGCACTTTGGTCCATAGAAAACCGCACCTCGCACACACGTCACCGCATTGTGTGTCAAAGTTGAGCTCAAACGGATGGTGGCGTAGCTTCATTGAATATGATGATCTTTTCACGCTACGCGCAACCACTTCGTGCACCAGGCCAGGAGGATCGAATAGCGGAAAACGCTGCGAGCGAAAGAATTTCGTGGAAACCGAGATTCGCGACTCGACCCAATTCGTGGAGCTACAGAAGCCCAAGACGAAGGGGGCTTTTTCAGGAGGCTTTGAAACATTCAGCGTGAAAAACATGGTTGCGCCCCCTGGACCCCCTGCAATTTCTGAGGGTGATACACTGAAAAAAAATACTCGGCGTTTTTACCACGGTCCGTTGGTACCTTTACCATCTCACTTTTCTTACCAATTATAGGTAATTTTACCAAGACAGACTGGTAAGCTTACCTAAAAACCGGTTTTTACTGGGTTTTTTTTAGGTAAGAATACCACTTTTATTGGTAATCAATTCCCGATAACTTTGCCATTTTATCTCGGTAATTCTACCACAGTCGATAAGAAATATTAGCGTTTTTACCAAGGTCCAGTAAAATTACCGAGAAAGTTCAATAATTTTACCGAGATTTCTCGGTAAAATTACCAATTCCATAAATGGTAATTTTACCAAGAAAAAACTGGAATCAAATAGAACCCTGAATTCTTGATAATTTTACCCTTTTTTAAGTAAATACACCGACATTTTTTTTCAGTGTACTCTTGAGGTCACCGATGAATTCAATGAAGTGAATTATGGGAGGGGGCACTGGGATGGGGGAAAATGCATTTATACAAGTTTGTGAGATAGGGGAGGCCCTGCAATCCGAGGCAGAAGCACGTCCAATGCCACAAAAAGTGCTTTCTTACAAAAACATCGAGTGCCAAAAACTGATTTTTGAAATTAATGGACAAAGCTATACGACCCCCAGAAACATCTGAGAGTGATACTCTTGAGGTCGCCGATGAATTCAATGAAGTGAATTATGGGAGGGGGCACTGGGATGGGGAAACATGCATTTATACGACAAG